AAGTTGCCACAACATGGGCATTGTGCATGGCATTCTCACTAACAATGACCATAGATAAATCTAATCTGAACATCTGATAAATGTTTGATGTCTGCTTAAATCCAGAGGGAAGGGGAAACAACAATGGCAGTGAAGTAAAAATGGTAGCTATTCCCATGGCTTTGGGAAATCATAATGAAACAGAATAGACTCAATAGAAATAATTGCATAAAATATCTTTAAACATAAAAATTAGCAATTTGTGAACATGTATTACTTAACATAGTCCTTACATCCAAGTACCTTTCTCAAAGAGGAAAGTGCCTCTATTGATTAGAATTTGGATATCAGAGGATAAGACTTACTAGTGGTTCACACCAGTTATCAATATTATTTACTCACATTTGAATCCCTGGTAGCAGTGTGTATGTTCACATAGAACTTCTTTATCACTGCATTAAGCCTGCATTTGCCTAATTTTCCAACATTTTGGAGAGTAAAATATTTTCCAGAATAAAATAATTTCACTCTGTTGACCAAGCAGATGCAAAATAAATGCTAATTTTAGCTGGAATTAACTTAGAAGGTATAAAGTACCTTTCTTAAATAAATTCAGTGGATCTGTATCTGTCTGGAGAAAACAGAATAAAACAAAAACAAAAAAAATTATGACCAAATAAAGTTAAGTAAACTCTGAAAAAAATATTGCTTAAGAACACTAGCTCCAAGTTTATAATTACTCAAGGGACATGAGGAATCATTTTTCCTGAATCTCATTTTAAATCTTGCCTTTAAGCAGTGAGCTTGTGTAATTAAAAGCCATGAAGAAGAGAGAAGCTTTCAGCGTGGATGCTGGGCCCAGCAGCCATACAAGGTGTGATGAACCATGTGGCCCTGTGCACACAGCATTGCAACCACCTGTCCTACTGCACAGGTGCCATGCCTCATCCCATGTTATTTTTCACATGATTTGTTTCTCATTCATTACTGTTGTGTATACAAGGCTTTGAATATTTAGCAGGATTGGACCTGATGGTTATGGCTCTGACTTTGCACACTGAAAGGAAGCCCACAGAGTGTGAAATTTTTGAACAATAAACACCCCACCTGTGATGGACCAACATTACTGAAATACAGCTTCTATAATTCAAAATTCAAATATGAATTGGATTTCACACTGTGACACAGTTTGTGGGTAATGGCCCTCAGCTGTCTTAAGGCCATATGTCACTTGATCAAAAGGAGATTATCCATATTACAAAGTCCCACGAATAAAGGGTAGACGTCGATGGAGAGACACATTAATTACATAATTAGACAGCATGTATCAATTTATCCAACATGAAACTGCTGATTATTTTAGTGCCTTATTTGATTTTAGTCTCTTCTTTTTTGGATTTGGTCACCCAAGTGTTCCAAAGTCCTTATAAATGACGACATACCTTAATACCTTAATATCTAATAGAGAAACCACAGAGGGTGTTGGTTTGTTTTATTTGCCGAAGTTCCTTTTTAGAGCTACCTGTTATTAGTCTTTAAGTGGGATCTAGAATGATTGTTCAGCAGAATATTTTCATTCAGTAGAGCCTGTTTCTGTCTGTTCAGTAGAGGACACCTATTAAAAATTCACAGTATCTCGTGATAAAAAACACCCTCATGAATCTGTGACTACAGCAGTAAGAACAGAGGAAGTGTCTATCAATTCATTTGAATGCCTACAGATTGTCGCATATTTTAGCAGGTAATCTGTGGCCAAAGACCAGATAAAAGAGGAAACTTCTCCCACAATTGGTGTTTCTAGTAACTGAACGAACACAGACAAAGTATGCTGTAGTTTCCTGCAACTCGAAAATCCTTACTCTTGAAATGGGCTGAGTTGAGTCTCTATTAGGAGGGCT